AAGTGTCTAGTGAAAAACTAAGAAGAGTTATTCTTATTATTCAAGTGAACTGCATCACAAATGTGGTCATACTAAAAATTTTAGGAGGCTAACTAAGAGAGTTTGAGACAAGAGGGTGATCTACATTAGAGTTGGAGGCATTGAAAGGTCCATGGGAGAGAGAGAAAATAAAAAGAGAAAAGAAAAAAAATTAAGGAAATAAATAAAGAGGCCTACTCACAAAAGCAAAGGCATCCAGAGTGGCAATTATTCTAGGAGTGTTGTGGGGGAACACAGAAGCAAGGACTCTACTAGTAACTTGAAACTTGTATGTCTTAGGCTCCAGGGAAGTCTAACAGGCATGGAAGAGTCACCACTCCTCTAAAGTTCTTACATACCAACTATCGAGAACTAGTCAGAAACTCTACTAATAGCACTAAAAAAGCTCCCTATTCCTACATCATTCCAAGTTAGAATAGTGCAAGGCGGGCTCTACATTAAGCCCAACTAAAGCTCGCCAAGTAGTACCCGTTAGAATGTCATAGATCTTAAGTGGGTGACATCACATTCCTATATGCTAAGTAGATCCTCACCGGTCGAGGTGATTCCACGATTAAAGGTACGCCCTTCCTACATCATTCCAAGCTAGAATAGTGCAAGGCAGGCTCTCTATTAAGCACAACCAAAGCTCGCCAAGTAGTACCCATTAGAATGTCATAGATCTTAAGTGGGTGACATCACATTCCTATATGTTAAGTAGATCCTCACCAGTCGAGGTGATTCCACGATTAAAGGTACGCCCCAACCATCCTTGCATAGACCTATTTGACCCGTGTCATCATAAAGGGCCTTTATGTGCCTCAAGGACCAAAGAAAGCTAAAATATAGGCTAAGGCTCACTAACCGATTATATGTATCCTCTAGGGCACATAGCATCTAGTCCGTAAATAAATCAGTGCACACATAAGTATTCTAATCTTCTAACATGCTTTTAGGAACATAAACAACATTTATTCGTAAAGCATACATATCCACACAACATACATGCATATCGAGAAAGTATGGTTAATCATTCATGCCACAATCCAAAGAGTTTACCATATTTTTATAACATCTTTGTGTCCATCAACTTTAATTTGAATAGCTTAAAAATTAGGTCATGAAAATTTTGTATTAGAGCCCTATGTTATAAAACATATAGACATTTCTAGATAGAGAGTTGTACATTCTCTATAGCACAGCTCGAGATACTCCCTGGCGACTAGGTAAGTATGCCAAAAAAAGTATAGAATATTAGAACCACACAACAACACACAATCGATCTAGATGAACATAAAGAACAGATGAGAGAGAAAAATCAAGACCGAATATTAGTTAGAGATTTATATTAATGACTTCAAGTATATAATAGTAAAGAATAAAGAGAATACAAAAAGTAACCTTCAAAACACTGATTAAAGGGTATATATATGGTTCAGTTTACCATCTATAGATTTATAACATATAGTCATCTACTAGATATATATATATATATATATATAATTATATATAATTATCTATAACTTTACCATACATAACCTTTTACTATACATAACTATTTATATTATTTACTATGTAGGACCAAATCTTTATAATATCATTTATCATATATAGCTTAACGATGTATAACTATTGAGTAAACTATAATAAGCACTAGCCTCTATAACCTAACAATTCTCCCACTTGGAAACTGGTCTAGTCAACCAATAATTTTATTATCAAACGGCCATCAATGTCTTGACTACGCTAGATCAATTAAGGCTTTGCACAATCTCAAGTTTTCAATATCAACACATTTTGTCAACATGTCTGCGGGATTCTTTGCACCCTCTATCTTTTTCAAACACATATCACCTTCTTCCACTACCCTGCAAGTGAAATGGTATCGTCTTCTGATGTGCTTTATCTTTGAATGATCTTCTTCACCAACTATATGACACTCTGACTATCTGTATTAAAAATCTTCTCACGCTACTTATTGCCTAATTCTTCTAGATAGTCTGTCGTCCATATCATCTTCTTTCCAACTTCAGCTACTACCACGTACTCGGCCTCAGTTGATGAAAGAGCAACACAATTTTGAAGTCTAGACATCCAACTCATCTCATCATCTATGACTTGCTCCCACTTGGTTGTATGCTCCAACTGTAGGGCATGATCAAAGAACTCTGATTCTTCTTCATCAGTCAACAACAGATAATGTAACGAAGGTGTGACCTATTTGGTACTTTGATAGTTCTAGATGATCTTTTCAACATCTGAACTCAGGTGTCACTTGCTCCACCTTTAGTTCCTCAAAAATAGTCTCAAAGTTTCTTGAGTATTTGCTATAACATCATTGAGAGGATTTTTATGCAACTCAACCTCAACTCCTTGTTGCTTCATTGTCTCGGAACCTTTCTTCTTTTTATCCTTGTATTGACATTTTCATCAACATTCACGTCACAATTTCTCATGAATTTTTTGTTCTTGTCATCCCAAAACCTATACCCGAATATCTCAGAACCATAGTCTTTGACATAGCACTTTACAGCCTCAATGTCAAGCTTGTCTCCCTTCTCTGGATCAACACAAACATATGCAGTGCAGCCAAAAGTTCTCAAGTGAGAGTACTTGAGTTTTTTCTGTCCATACCTCTTCTGGCAACTTAAATTCTTAGGGTACTGACGACCCTCTATTGATCAAGTAGGTTGTTGTATTTACAGCATCGACCCAAAATATCTTTGGAAATCTAGAATGAATCCTCATACTCCTTGCCCGCTCATTCAACGTTCAGTTCATTCTTTCAGTAACATCATTTTGTCTTGTCTTACCAGGAATTGTCCACATTAATCTAATTTCCTCAACGGCAAAAAAAAAAAAAAATGCTTTGAATTCTGACTTGTCATACTCTCCTCCATTGTTAGATCTCAGGCATTTGATTTTCAAGTCGATCTGATTTTCAATTTCTGCTTTCCACTTCTTGAAGATGGAAAACACATCTAACTTGCAGAAAATAAATCCATACCTTTCTGCTGAAACCCTTGATGAAGGTAATATAGAACTTTGATCCACCAAGTGATGGAAATGGAGATGATACCCAAATGTTTGTATGGACCATTTTCAACGGCACTTTTTCAATTCTCTGGCAGCGTTTGTGAAGCTAACTCATTTCTGTTTGCCTATAATGCAACTCTCACAAGAACCCATATCAACAAATTTCAGGCCTTCTAAAAATCCTTTCACAACCAACATCTCCATTCCTTTAACAATCATATGTCGAGTTTATTGTGTCATAGACTTGAATTTGAAACACTTTCAGCAATAACAATTATGTCTATAAACCCTGCCGTGGTGTATAAAGTTCCAAATTTTATGTCACGTGCTACCACCATAGCACCCTTCACAATCTTTCATGAACTCTTCCCAAACTCTGCTGCATAACTTGTGCTATCCAAGTGACAATAGACATTAGGTTCTTCTTGAGACCAAGAATATATCTAATATCCTTTAATGTCCACTAATTTCATGCAATAGTTTTTATGGAAACATCCCCATTTTCTTCAATTTCCAAGGCTTTGTTGTTCCCAAGATACGTCTTCTCGAAATTTCCATATTTTGAAATTCTGAAACAATTTCTTATTTTGAGACGAATGAAAAGATGCACCTGAATCCAAAATTCAGTATTCAATCGGACTTTCCATGCTAAGGATTAGAGCATTCTCAATGTCTTCTACTGAATTTATAGAATCATTATCATCCTCCAATTTGTGATTATGCTTCCGCTTTGGTCTTGTACAATTTTTCAAAAGTGACTTCTTTTCTCCATAATTCCAACACGTTACGTTTGGTCTGTTTTAGAAATTTTCCTAGTTCTTTGATTTTGATCGATCTTTGTTAGAACCCTTCGATTAATTTCTTCCCCTTTTGGTTAATTCTAAGAGCATTACCAGATGAATCCACAATTTCTTGTTTGCAAATACTTTTGCTGAGAACTACATCTCGAATTTCATCGAACTTTAGTTTCTCATAACTCCGAGAACTGTTGATCGCAACAACAACAGTATCTCAAGACTCGGGTAAAGATGACATCAAAATCAATGCTTTAATTTCATCTTCAAAATTAATTTCCACTAAACTTAATTGACTTACAATCATATTGCATTCATATATATGATCTGCAACAGATCTACCTTCAAACATTTGTAGATTGACAATACCCGCATCAAATACATCTTGTTCATAGGCGATGGTTTTTCGTACATATTCAACAACACATTCAACAGATTCGACGTTGTCATCTTCTTGATGATGTTGAACGCCACATTTCTAAACATTGTCAACTAGATTACCCTTAAGGTCAACCAATCTTAAGGTCGACCAACTTTGTGCTTCCACTGTTCCCTGGTCATGGTATCTGCCTTCATCCCCGACAAGGGTTCTTGAAGATCTTTCTGGTACTGGTAATCTTGAAGCTGCATCTTCCAGAAACCAAAATCGAATCCATCAAACTTCTCAATATCAATCTTTGAGCTTTCCATCTTCATAGATCGTGGTGAATCTCGCTTAGTTGGTAGGACCGCACAACAACACACACTCGATATAGATGAACATAAAGAATAGAAGAGAGAAAATAAAGCAGAAATATTGGCTAGAAGTTTATATTGATGACTTCAAGTATGTATAATAAGAGAGAATAAAAAGAATACAAAAAGTACATGTTCAAAGCAGTGCCTAACGTATAATATATTGGTTCAATTGACTATATATAGCTTAATAAAATATATAATCATTGAATAATAAGCCGCAGGGTCATAACCTAACATAAAATGCCTTAAATTTTTATAAGTTATGGTCGAATGATTGGAGTTATTTATTTAAGATTTCAAGATAATATGACATTTCTAATGTCTTGGATCAAGTGGTAATCCTAAATGCTCCCTTGTGATAGATCACGTCATGTAAGAGACAAGGTCCAACTATTAGGGAAGTAAGAACATGAGGCAGAAGACAAGCTTTCAAAAACTCATCTAAGGTGCACTCTCGAGGTCGAGATGCCCTATACACAAAAAACTTAACAAGATCCAACAACCAATCAAGTGGTGCCCCAAGTTCAACAAAGAGTAATTTTATTACATGCTTTTGGTTGATAGTTGATTAAAGAGAGCAATTTTAAGAGCGTCGAGCTACGGTAACTTTCAAGCCATTGGCCATGGACAGAATAGTCATCATTCTGTAGCTCACTTCATGCCCACTCACCAAACTAAATTTGTAGAATCTGCACAAAATGGCAAGCGCCATTTTCATCTGTAGATATGCCGAGTCTTTCCCCATGCAGATCCTTGGTCCTGCCTGCATTAAATAATATATTGTTAGGAATCATAGCTCTTCACGATGATATGATATTGTCCACGTTGAACGTAAGCTCGGGCTTTCCCAATAGGTCTCATACCATTGGAGATGTATTCTTTACTTATAAACTCGTGATCAATCCCTTAATTAGCCCATATGAGACTCCTCTCTCAACAGTTTTCCCCTCGAACAAATTACACCATAGAGCTTCCCCTGAGGCTTATGGAGCCCTCGAACAACCTCCTCTTAATTGAGGCTCAACTCCTTTGGAGCCTTCGAACAAAATAAACCCTTTGTTCGACAGTTGAGTCACTTTTGATTATACCTTCAAGGCTCATAACTTCCTTGTTTGACATTTGAGGATTCTATTTGACATGGCTAAGTTAAAGGCATGACTCTGATACCATGTAAGGAATCACATACCTCCACAAATGGTATGATATTTTCCCCTTTGAACAAAAACTCTCGTGGCTTTGCTTTGGGCTTCCCCAAAAGACCTCACCAATGGAAATGTGTTACTTACGAATAAACTCAGGATTAATCCCTTAATTAGCCAATATGAATTCCTCTTTCAAAAATTCTCCCCTCAAATGGAGTACACTATAGAGCCTCCCCTGAGACCTATGGAGCCCTCAAACCGCCTATCCTTAATTGAGCCTCGACTTCTTTGGAGCCCACGAACAAAGTACACCCATTGTTCGACACTTGAGTCACTTTTGACTACACCTTCGAGACTCACAACTTCTTTGTTCGACATTCGAGGATTCTATTGACATAGCTAAGTTAAGTGCATGACTCTGATACCATGTAAGAAATCACAAACCTCCACAAATGGTATGACATTATCAACGAAGATGTATTCTTTACTAATAAACTCATGATAAACCCCTTAATTAGCCGATACGAGACTCCTCTCTCAACATATGTATAACAGAATAAAGGAATAGTGACCTGAAACGCTGTGAATTTGAATGGGGATTCGTTATGAAAAACGCCTTGTTTGAGCCATCTTTGAGGGTTAAAAGAAGTTGCATCAGAACCCCAATTGTATTCCATTCTTCCCATTGAGTAGGGAACATATGTCACCATCCCTCCAGCTCTTACCTTCGTCCCATCAGGCAATACATCATCCTCCAAAACCCCCTTCGGATCCTAAATACTTATAACATAAACTATTTCATTGTTCATAAACCAAAGCTTTAATGGTTTATAAGTACTAATATTTTTATACCTGAGGGACTGCAGGGTATAGGCGTAGCGTCTCAGTGATCATAGCATGCAAATAATGTAATCTATTAAGAGAATCATAATTAAGAAGCTCTGCAAACTGCGTTACTCTTCTCTCAAAGGATTGGATATCAGATGGATGATGGTGAAGCAATGAAATTCTCTCTTCTTTGGCTCTCTCTTCTTCAAAGCTCTTGAGCTCTGAGTAAACTCTGTCAGCTACATGGCTATGAGTCATTACCATATAAATAGCCCATGAAAGAGTTGCAGCTGTTGTGTCACGTCCAGCAATCACGAAGTTTAGAACGACATCTCTTAAGCTTTTGTTCGTGAAATTGTTGTTTGGATCTTCCCCTAACTCGATAAATCTCGACAATATGTCATGTTTTATCTGTCATATCATGTCATGTCATAGCGAGTGAATTCAAAGTTGAAATGAAGTTAGTGTAAAAGGGTAATGATAAAATGACCTTATTGGGTGTGGTTGGAGCTTGTTGGATCTCTTTTTTCCTTGTGGCAATGACAGAGTAGGTGAAGTGGTCGATGACTTTGATGGACTTCTGAAGAAGAGCTTCGGACCCCAAATTCAGAAACCTTTTAATCTTCCAGAAAGGATCGATGAAGCGAAGGGTGACAATCATGTTGGCTGTGTCAAAGGCCTTAGCGAACCCATTTTCTGGCAAATTTGGAGCCAATGATCCAATTTCAACCCCGAATCCCACCTTGCATATGGAGTCCAAAGTCATTCTCATCAGCAATTCCTGCACCAATAATTTCAACCATGGCTTATGAGAACTGGTTGAGGATTGTCGGGAGGGAGTCCCATATTGGCTAATTTAGAGAATGATCGGGAGTTTATAAGTAAAGAATACATCTCCATTGGTACGAGACCTTTTGGAAAGCCCAAAGCAAAACCACTATAGCTTATGCTCAAAGTGGACAATATCATACCATTGTGGAGAGTCGTTATTCCTAAGATGGTATTAGAGTTATGCCTTTAACTTAGTCATGTCAATAGAATCCTCAAATGTCGAACAAATAAGTTGGGACCCTCGAAAGTGTAGTCAAAAGTGACTCAAGTATCGAACAAAGGGTGTACTTTGTTCGAGGGCTCTAGAGAAACGAGTCGAGCCTCGATTAAGGAGAGGCTGTTCGAAGGCTACATAGGCCTCAAGGGAGACTCTATGGTGTACCTTCAAAAGTGTAGTCAAAAGCGACTCAAGTGTCGAACAAAGTGTGTACTTTGTTCGAGGGCTTCAGAGAAAGAAGTCGAACCTCGATTAAGAGGAGGCTGTTCAAAGACTACATAAACCTCAAGGGAGACTCTATGGTGTACTTTGTTCGAGGGGAGGATTGTTGGGAGAGAGTCCCGCGTTAGCTAATATACGAAATGATTATGGGTTTATAAGTAAATAATACATCTCGATTAGTATGAGGCCATGAGAGCTTATACTCAATATGGACAGTATCATTGTAAAGGGTCATGATTTGGTAACAGAACTCACCTGCACGTCAACTTGCTGGTTATGCAAAGAAGCCCGTGTCAAAATATCCGAGAGCTTGAGGCTATACTCTCTAAAAACCAAGGCACTGAAATCCCTCAAATTCTTAGAAGCAAACTCGAAGCTAGCAGTCTTCCTTTGTTTCCTCCAAAGCTCTCCATCCACATTGAAGATCCCATCTCCAAGAAGCACTTCCATGTAGGAATGGTAGGCGTCGCCCTTAGGGTAGTTGGGGAAGTTGGTCTTGAGAATGTGCTGAACATTGGCAGGGTCAGCAATGTAAGTATAAGTAGTGAAAGGCATAGGAACCACAACAGTTTTGGAGAGATTAAGGTAACCAAGAAGCCAATCATGCATTCTATGGTAGTTCAGGAGCTGCTCCAATGCGGCTCCTAGGAGTGGCCATGTCTTGGGGCCTGTGTTCTTCCTTTGGTTCCATCTATGGATAATCATCCATGTCCAAACCAAGCAGGTTGCCACCCCCAACACTCCACTTTTTGAACTATACCATTCTTGATCAACCATTTCACCACTCAAACACTAACAAAACACTGTTTTGTTTCATGGGGGGAGCTGTTTATATATAATAATAGTAATTTGTATTTGGATACAGCAATCTTTATATGTTTTACTGCATAATTAACATCCCTTTTGTGTGCTCAACCTAACCATTCTTTACCCAATTCATTCACCTAACCTTCCCATTTTAGTTATTACCATCTTTATGTATCTTTTTTTTTTTTTACCATTTTCTTTTCATGGATTTCAATAAAATCTCTCTTTTTTTTTTTTTCAATAATTGGGTTAAAAATTTGAAAAAGGCTTCTAAACTGTTTCAGGAACTTGTACTTTGAAAGGAAGATAGAGTTTGTCGCTAAGTATTTGACCATATAGGATCGTCTAATTCCTATAGAACCTATCACTAAAATATCTATACCCGGAGATAGGGCTAAGCGGAGCAAAAAGGGTTTTGCATGAGATCGAAAATTCAAACTATTAACTCCACACGAGATTTGTGAATAAGTGATTGTATGATGATGAATAAGGAATACCCGTTTTTCTGTTAAACAGGATATATTGAACTCATAATTCATTAGATATTAGATATTTTTTATTAATGTCTGATTATTTGATTTTAGATTTTGAAAATTTAACTATATGGTCATTTGTAAAGCAACTTTAAAAAATAAAAATAAAATAAAATAAGTAATTTTTAAAAATTTATTTTTTTAAAAAAATAAGTTAAAATTTTAAATATTTAATTTAAGAAAAAATAAAAGTATTGTAAATAAATGGGGAAGAAACCAACAAAAATTTTAAACTAATAAAATTATTAAATGGGATTTAAAAAGATATATAATAAGCCTAAATTAAATAAATTAAATAATAACAGTTTTATCTCGCCGAAAAAAACAATTTAAAAAAGAAAATATATATATATATATATATATATATGAGGACGAAAATTTTGGGTTGGCGCCAAAATTGTTCCCGGCAATCGTCCTCAGCGACTGCGCGCGAAAACCCTGAAAATGTCTTTCTTCCCGCCTTCCCCCCTTCGTTTATCTACAACCTTCTTCCTCCATTACTGTCCAATCCTTCTGCGCTTCCAAGAATCCTTCCTTTTCTTCAATTTCCTCCCTCATGGATCTCTCCAAGATTGCCAGGAAGCTCGATCTTTCCGACTCCGAAACCCTCACCCGGAAAGCTGGGGAATTTCGTCGCCTCTCCGATCTCCAGTTCAATTCTTCCGCTATTGGCGTTGTAAGCTTTCATCTGCATCTCTTTCAAGTCTTCTCTGATCGGCAATTGTTCAATTTTGTATTTAATCTATATCTCGTTCTTGGTCTTTTTTTGTTTTTAGGGTGAGGTTTGCAAGGCCATAATCTGTTTGGAAATCGCCGCTACGAGGTGTGGTTTCGATTGGTGATTGAACTTTGTTTCATTCTGGTTTCTAAATTGTAATTCCATTGGTATTTGGATTTTGATTGGAATGGATGCATTATATCGCAGATTAGGGATTTTATTTGATAGATCCAATGCTATCAAGTTAAGTGGGATGTCGGAAAAGGCGTACACCAGATCTTTCAATTTGTTTCAGAATGGTCTTGGTTTCAAGTGCGTCTTTCGAACTCTACCTGTCTGTTTCTGTGATTCTTTAATATATTTAGTTTATCGAATTCCTTTGGTGCTGCAGAAGTAAGCTTGATATCAGAGAATTGGCAGTGCAGTTTGGGTGTGTTAGGCTGGTTGCTTCAGTTCAAAAGGGCTTATCTCTGTAAGATCTCTATAATTGAAACTTTTCGTTTTAGTTTCTTCACATTTCTTCTCAAATCTCATTTTTATTGAATTATGAAATACGCGTATAGCAGTACTCTTGTTCACTGAAATGTTGATCAATGGAAAGTGAATTTCTCTTACCTTCTATCAGTTACTCCAATCTGTAATTTTAACTGTCTTTTTTAAAATTGATCGGCTCATATCATGACATTATTTGTTTCAGATACAAGGATCGGTTTGTTGCATCACTGCCAGCTTCTCGACGTGCTAATGCCGACTTCTCCCGATCAGTATTTACAGCTGCAGCTTTTTACTTGTGTGCAAAAAAACACAAGGTACCCCATGAATTACATTTTTTCCGTTTTGCAACACGGATATATGCTTGTCCTGTAACTTTTACTGGAAATGCTTCTTTCATATAACAGCTGAAGGTTGACAAAGTTAAGCTCATTGAACTCAGTGGAACATCTGAATCTGAATTTTCATGTGTAAGAACATTATTCCTTTCTGTTGAGTTGTGCATGAAATTGAGACAATTATTGACCAATTCTTGGCATTGCAGGTTGCTACTTCCATGAAGGACTTGTGCTTTGACGTCTTTGGAATTTCTAGTGAAAAGAAAGATCCCAGGGATGCCAAAGGGAACAGAGGTATGGGTTTCTCATGCTTCATTTTCTCCATTTTCTCTCACTTTGTTAGCTTAGCTTATGCCTTTTGCACCCTCACAATTGGATTGCAGACATGTTAGATGCATTGCCAGAGAAAAGGAAATGTGAGGATGGCGGATACTTATCTGATGATAATGAAGAGGTACCAAGTAGCTGCATCTCAAGTACTTGAATTTCATGAAAGAAGTCTACTAATTGTCCGTGTTCAAAGATGTCACGCTTTGCATTTTTGCCAAAATTGAGTCTAGAAGAGTTGTTTTTCAATATCATGTTTCAAGCCTTTTCTGTTGTTTCTAAATGTGTCTCGTCTCTGTTTCTTTTCTTGTTCCATTCCATTACATGCTTAATGGCCTTAAATTTTGTATTGACTATTAATGGGGTGTGCTATTTCTAGTTTTCAAGAACAAAACGACGCAAACCAATGGATGAACATGCTTATAATCAGTGGAAATCCTCTGTCATTGCTTCCAATAACCTGACCAAGACAAGAGGTCTTTTGACAATACTCATCTTCCATTGTTTAAATTTCTGGTTTTAGTCACATAACATCTAACTATTATTGTGCTCTTCTTCCAGTTCTTAGCAAGCGAACCAGGCAAACTTCCCTCATGGAAATTAAAGAAAAGATGTCAAAGTAGGAGATGAACAAGTCTTTGAGGTGCAGTATTTGAATGAAGATTGTCACAAAGGGAGGGAGAAGTGGATGGTTGAACCACTCTATTTCCTTGCATCAAATTGGGTTGCATAAGTTGAGCATTTGGGGTTGCATCAAATTGGGTTGCATAAGTTGAGCATTTGGGGTTGCATCGGGAGGATAACATCACTACCATGGCCACATTTTTCTTACAAACCGTTGTGCCACAGAAATGCCAGAAATTTTGCCTGGACACATTAGTGTCCCAATGTATTTATGAATGTAACGTACAGACACGAGTCTCAAAGTTCTATGAATCCTCAGTTCCAACTCCACTGGTGGATTATCCATTTGAGGTTGAGAATGAATATCTTGTAGGGAACTGTTTATCGATGTATGTAAACATTCCTCCACGTCTCATGCTTCTGAATAAATACTGTATGAATTGTTGTTATTCAACTTTAGAAATGAAAGAATATAATTATAGATAAAAGTATTTTTTTCACACATTCTTATTTTTACCTCTTAAAAGAGGTAATCTAAGAGTCTTAGAGTCGAGAACAAGAACATGAAAGAGTATGAAACGATCAAGAGCCTATAAGTAGATTGCTTATTAAGTTTTTGTACCTTGACCCGGGTATACACATCAATAACATAAATTTAATGTTATTGTCCATTTATAAAATGTTAGGTGGAGACGCATGACCTACAACTATGGCGCTAAAGCTCGCAAATCAATTGATTACACACTTTAAGAATGAATGATCAACAAATTGAATTCAACGTAAATGAATTACACCCTTTAAGAATGAATTATCAACAAATTGAATTCAACATAAATGAATGTATGGATTGAATTCAACATAAATGAATGTATGGAGTACTCTGAATTATATGGAAGAATATTCTAAGAAAAAGAAATTAGAGAAAGAGCAGTAAGAACAAGCAGAAGAGAGTATAGTGAGAACTGAAGAGAAAGAACATTACCAAATGAGACCTTCTAATAAGGATCACGGTGTTCCAACGGGACCTAGTACACGATTCATGCCCAAGAAAATTCAACAAGTAATAATTTTTTATCTACAAAATTGGAAATCTCGGTCCAAACATTATTTCATGTGTTACAAGTTGATTCAATCGAGAAATGACTATTTAGAGGTTCAAAAGTGAATATTTACACGGTTGAAGTAGCCGATAAAGTTGATATAAATTACATTTGATTGATAAGTTGTTAGAAAACTTTATTTTATTATTTTTAATCTCATAGTTCTTGGAAGAAAAAGGTAGGTAGTTATTTGTCAAGGTAGTAGTTATTTGTCAAATTAATCTAGTGGAGATCAAAAGGGAGTGAGAGTAAATTATGATTACTAATTTATTCGGTGAGCACTTGAAGAATTGAAATTTTTTTTTGTGCAGAAATTATAAATACCCACAAATTATTAAGTAAAAGTCCAATTTTGATGAATGAAAATTTAACTCTCGAGAGACTTTTACCTTAGAAATTTAAACATGATATGGTCATTTCTAAGTTGCAAAGTTTTAAGATTGTGGCAGACTGCAACCGAACTATTCAATCAAGCTTTTATCTTTGATTGTGAAGTGACTCAATTAAAAATAAGATTTCAAATTTGTTTCTAGATTTTTATCTTAATTTCTTTAATTAAAAAATTTTTGCTTCAACAAAAAAAAACTTAGATCGTTGGGCTGAGGATTAAGGTTGTCTTATCAGTTTTATATAAATAACATAAAGCATTACTATCCAAACTAGGGAGGCACAAGGAGGTGGTAAAACCTCATGGAACGAAGAAGAGTTTTAGCGCAAAGAAAGTAGGTGAGATTCTTATAGAGAAGAGTTGACAAACTAAAAAAGTGGTTTTCAACAATTCCTGAAGAGACTTCTCAAGACAAAGATAAGCTGGAAGTGCATTGAGAGACTTGAAGGCAACCTTATCCTACATCACTAAGTTTG